CATTATGCTCTCTTTCAGTGTCCTCGGCATCTCGCTATGCCTCTTGTCGTGGGAATTTATGTAAGTTTCGGAGAAACCATGAGTTCTTAGAAAATAAGCGTGATATTCTTCCCACGATACTTCACCTGCGATAAATATCGAGAAGCAGTCAATAATACTGATTTATACTCGGCTAGCACAATTACATTCTGGTAATGTTTTATCAATATTTTCTGGAAGCTTTGAAATATTCTTAAAATATTTGTAGTATGTTCAATTAAAGCTGTTTTTATTATTCTAAAAAAGTCCATAGAATGTTCTTTTATAGATCATTATCGAATATAGTCTTAGAATATTCTCTGATGATTTTTAATGGAACATTTTATAGCTTTTTCTAGAGTTATAAAGCAATCTGAGCTGAATATGTTACAAATAGTCTTAGAACGTCCTTTATACGTATCTTTTAAAAATATTCCAAAGATCATGGGAAACATTTATAAAAATTTTATGGAATATAACTGTGTATATCTGGATACACACCAGATTTTACTGCGGCTGTTTTAATTTTTCTGAGATTACATGAATTTCTCTCGAACAGTTTATAATTTTTAAAATATAAATAAAATATTTTTATTTATATTTAAAATTATATAAAACACAAGAATAAATAATAATAAAAAAATAATATTTAATATAATAATCAATTATGTATTTATATACGACATATATATAATTATAACTATATATCTATGTATAAATATTAATTATTTATTATTAATCAACTAATTTGTCAAACAATAAATTAATAAACTGAAAAAGACTAATGAAGCGTGCTTTGCTGTATTAATTTTACGATATAAATACAATAAACGCGCCCATATTATAATAATAATTTTCTTTGATATTTTGTGTTCATATTTAATTCGACAGATAAAAATAGAAATATAGAAACTACTCGTTAATTATTCTCATGCAATCTTATAGAGCGAAAACCATTCGTCGCGAACACAATATCATCGGGAAATAAAGCCATTCGCGTGAATAGCGTTAGTTAAGCTCCAATTGATTTTAATTAACACTTGTGCAAACCGCACTGCAATGAGCTACATACCATTTCTAGGATTGTTGTCGATCGCAGTGAATAAACCGACGTTCTCTCGCATTGCGCGCGTGATATGCTCGGTGATTTTTGCATGGATCCACTTGGCTAGTTCCTGGATATCCAACAATTCGTTGTCGTCCGTGTCTGCTCGCCGGAAAATGTCTTCGAGAAGGGTCCTCGGATCCTGACGATTTTCCACCTCTACGATTTGTATGGTCTCGTCGTTTCCGCGTCGATCGATTCCCGCGTCCTTGTAACTCGCCAAGTTCTTTTTGTCGGCCGTTACGGCTTCCAACTCGAAGAACAAGCTATCTATCGCGGCACCCTCTTTATCCCTGTCGCTCGGGGTCGATAAACTTTTCAGAGGCACGCTTTTGTTGTACTTGACAAATAGAAGCGACATATAAATCACAAGCGGCACCAGGATGGTCCAACGCAAAAATCGCAGGCACATCACTTCCTGCTTGCAGAGGAACTGTTTAAATAAAACGGTAAGATTACCTAATTATAATCAAAAACATTATAAATAGTATAGTAATGTTAAATTAGCAGGAGTAATAATGTTAGAGATTTAAAAAATATCAGTAAATAACTCAATTAAATATATGTATAAGATAATATTTAATATTAAATTATATAATTAATATATTAAATTAATATAATATTTAAGAAAATATATAAGATAATATTTGACATGTAAACATGTAAAATTATGGATTTTTACAATAATTAATACTTTTACTTTTAATTATGTAAATATATATATCTTTATATTAGATAGGAAATTACAATAATAGTAATATTTCTAACTTCTAATGCAAATGCACAAATTTTTATAATATTATTTTTATAATATTTTTATAATATTATATAATATATCACATATGTTCTATTTGCATTTTTATGTTCATACATATTAATATAACGTATACATAAGTATACACTTTTAATAGTGAGTCCCAAAATTACTCACTATAAAACAGTTGTAATTTTACATGTAATTTTTTACAATGTGAAACGTCGGTGATTTCGTTTTTACTCACAAGATGAGACAGATACATCTTGGCTACGTAACACGGTGATCCGAGCCGCTTTCTAATTCCCTCTTCGTTTTCTCGTCAACCGTGAACTGGCGTAGTTTCCAATTTTCTCGGTTCCATACAGCGAGGATCGATCTGTCGCCTATCTGTCACTACCGCGTGCGTCTGCATATAATCAAATGTGAGGATACCCTTCGATTGTCGGCGATAAATAGGTAAAGGATTAATCACAAATCGGAGGGGACAGCCTGAACCGACGAGAGCTACACAACAATCTCTTTAATCGTCCCGAGAAATCAAATCCCTCACCGTCAAGACGAAACACCTTACGCGCCAAGTCGGACAACCTCGATAGTACACTGACGATTTGAGCGCGGTCCCGCGCATCCTTGTTCTGTGTCGAATTCGGAGACGCGAAGCCAACGATTGCACGACTGTCAAAGAGAACGGATCTGATCCGTGTCAACGCAGTCGCCGCGATTGTCTTGCGAACGTGGTCAGACGGGCCTCACTTCGCCGAGAAACAGCCGTACGCTGCCAGACGGGCTGCACACTCACCGCGTATTGATCCACTTTCACTGTCTCGTTCTCCTTCTCTCCTCTCGCCGGCAATCACACAAACGGTGTTAACATACGTTCACCATGTACTCAGATACACTTTAACGGAATAACGATACTTGTACTCGGTTGGTACCAGGTGTCTCGTTATTATTTTTAATATGTAAAACGTAAAACTAGCTAACGGAAAGTTGTCTCTAACGGAAACTTTTTATTTTATTACTGCAATTGCGCCAAGTAGAATAGAAGTTTGTTTGATTAGAATTTAGATGAGAGCTCCTTACAGAAATTTAATACTGGAAGATAATGATTAATTACTTACTTTGAGTTATTCAGTGCTTTAGTAGTCGAAATAAGTAATTAATCACTATCTTTCAGTATTAAATAGACCAATATTACATAAGATTTCTATAAGAAATTATAACAAATTTTCATGAAACTGTAATCTTTTTCGTCTTTAAATACGTTCAAAGTAATTCTAAAATAAATAAATAGTTTCAATAGCTTAATATGTCAAAATTAATTTCTCGAAAAAAAATTTTTTTTAATGTATCTTATTATTAAAACTATTTTATTTGTAAAGAAATATTTAATTCAAGTAGTTGGTCATTTAATGATTTTATCATTAATTATAAATTAAAAACAAATCTATGCGAGCTATCATTAAATGGTCGTGTGTAAAAAACGATTAATATAATAAAATAAAGATACGAGTTAGTCATTTCGAACCATATTTTTGGATTCTTCAGTATAATATTATATAGTTAACAAAAGAATTATTTTATTTTACAATAAAACCAGTAAAATTATTATATTAAAATAAATAAACTTTTTAATCTTTTAATTTATGATTTACTTAAGGGCTATCACACATAAAATGATAAGCTACATAATTATAGTAGAAGGCTGTTGAATTAGCATGTTATGTAAAGCAACATGGCCACTTTATGTTGAATGCTCATTGATTCAGGGGCCTTATGCTATTCGTCTGCAGTTTATGTCATTCTGTGTATGGTGATCCTTATTCTTTTATATGTTATAATATGTATTTCATCATTAATATAATTATTAAGAAATCGATTCTTTTTTAAGCTTATAATTATTGTTCTATATATTTTTAAATATTTATTGTTCTACATGTGTATTTACAAAAAATAAGTATACAATATTTTAATATTTATTTTAATGCACTATTCAAAAACATTCACCAAACACACTGTTTTGTTAATAAATTATGCGAAAGCAAAGATAAAATGAAATAGTCAAACATCTTTATTGCGCGCTGAGATATCTGTCTCTATAAAGTATAAGAATTTTTTAAATGAAATAGTACGCAAGGTGTAGAATGATAAAGTAACTTCGAAAAGTAAAATCGGTCGTGTATCAAATAAGATGAGACTTATATGATCTTTTTCTGATTTATTTGTAATATTTAATAGTAAATTATGGTTGTTTAATGACGTGTTTTTTTAACGTATAATATACGAATAATAAGCTGAATATACATATAATATAAATTTCTTCTATCGCATTTGAATTGGAAATTAGCTAGGCAAGTCACATTAGTCAGTACGTTATAAAAAGACGCGCAAAAAATAATGCGTGTAACGTTTTATTTGGCAAATTATACGGTAATATTTTTAATAATAAAAAGTTCTCCCTTGCCTGCTCCGTCATGGTAATGTTTTTGGGAAAAAATGCCAAATCACCGCAATGTCTGTTATTTTGTCAGTCACTCACTCTCGGATCACTTTGCGCAGGAAAAAACATCCATTAAGTGTTACAAAAATAAGTCTCTGTGTATATATAATTCTGTTAAACTACTTTTGTATTGATTATAATTAATTAAATTAATCTCATGGTACTATATGGTATTGTAGAATCCTGGATGTATTTTTAACAAGCCCATGAGTAGGAACGCAGAGTGTTACTTGAACAATATCCGCTAAACATCAAATTACACAATATTACATCAATATTATAATTTCTCACTTAACAATATAAATTGTAATAAAACACATGTTGTACGACAGTTACGTTATTGAGTAGGAAATTATAGTATTGTGTAACGTTACTGTTAGTTAGTGTTTACTGAGTATTGCTATCTGATTGTTCTTTGAAACTAATACTGGTAAATAAGAGCTACAAAATTATGAAAAATTATTTCCATGTCCAAAACGAGTAGAGGGTCGTTTGACGACTACAATTTTCTCTAAATGTTTCTGCAATATTTGTCGATGCCAGTCTGCGAACGAATTTTATTCCCTCCAAAGTGGCGAACTCTCGAGGGATAAATATCTTGTTAGACAATTCGTCCTTTTGATAATAAAATCATTCGATGAAATGCTCGCTGAACTAGACTACTTTTTCGCGAGCTCGGTATCTTTATCGGGTTCCCCCCGGTTCACGTGAACTTTATTGATGATCTCTCGCGACAAGGTCACTTCGGGCTCTTGCAAACTTCCATCTGCCGTGGCTTTTCATCTTCCAGTTCAAGACCAAAGTTCGCGATACCTTGGACATTCGTAGATGCGCAAGGCTTCGACTGTATGCGGAACATGGCCGCAATTGGCGGGCTCAGGAAGTCCTGATCGACGTCAGCAGGATTTTGTGCGCCTGTCGCAAAACTTACCGCCAGACCCACGAGCATGGTCAACATGCAACCGATTGCGCTGTACCATAGATAACTGGTCTGCAAATTATATCACGCATAAGACTTATTTCATTTGTGTACGTAATTATGATCTCGAATAAATTTCTGCTTTTGCATAAAGAAATACTAATGCAAAATAAATCGATAAATTACATGAAAAATAGAACTGCATACAAAAAGAATCAAAGTTTGAAATAAACAAATTTTGGTTTATGATGTATAATTGTACGAAGTCTCTCTCTTTCTCTCTCTAATAAATTAAAATGTAAAATTAAATAAATAAGTTAAAAATGTTGACCTCAAACGTTTCATAGTTTACTAGTAAATATTTATTAAAATTGCAGAAACGTTGCAATTTTAATTTATTTTTGTAATAAATTAAAATTCTAAGAGATAATTGCACGTACATAATTATGTATAATGCGACGTAATTGCAAGTCATGCAATTGAGAAAATAAATCTCACCTTGTATATGGACGAAACTTCGTCATCGAAGTTGTGCTCGAATTGATTGAGCACGATTGTGGTCTCATTTATGCAAGGACAACCTGCAATCGATATAGGCTTACTATCCAATTGAATCTGTCCGTTTACAGCCGCAATTTGGGCACCTAATCCAATCCACAGGACAACTACCAAACTCGTGATGGCACCTACTATGGCTCCTTTAGCATTAGCCCATGGTACAAACATGCCTAATGAGAATAATCCTAGAGTCACCCCACCAACCATGCCGTTGAAAGATAGCGCAACCTAAAAATTACAATGACTTTGTCAATAATGTTTTTTGAGTTCGCAATTTAGAATACAGCGCAATAAGAAAGAAAAGATGAAATTTCTAAACTTATAAAAGAATGAATCACGCATCGTAAGATATGACATTATATGGAAAAAGAGAGAACTATTACTTAAAGAATTTAATAGAATTATTTTTTTTTTAATCTCTTCTTAGATTGATTCTTTTTAGATTCTTCAAAATTTTTTTTTTAATTCTTAGTTTTTCAGGATTTCTATACACATTTCAGAATTTTGTATAATATAATTTTAAGATTATGAATTTCAAAATTCTGTAATAATTTTAATAATAATCATTGTACAACTTCAAAATTTATAATTTTCAAAGAAAATTTATAAAATTAAAAAGAAGTTATATATATAAAGTAATTCCAAAACTATTTAAATTTATAATGTCTTTTTATTAAAAAAATAATTATAACGAGAATATGTGAAATGCTTTATAAGAACTCTCTTCTTTTTTATGAGAAGTATTTCTCGAATACATGAATAAAGCAAATAAAATGCATAAATTACCTGCAAAACGCTACCGAGACGCTCGACAATAAAGACCAGTGCAAAACTGAGAGCTCCGAAAAATATGCTAATCCATCTAGCGTAAATAGCACCTTTACTTGCCGGCAAGTCCATTTGGAAGAGTCCGCGAAGAATATCTTCACAGGTTATCGCCGCTAATGAGTTTAAGGCACTCGCCACAGTTCTAAAAAGAACAGTTTAAGGTATTTTCAAATGTAATTCAATGAATTCTCGAGCTTCAATTCAAAACAAACTTATTTCTTATTGAATATGATAATTATATTTTAATTATTTACTTCAAACTTTAAATAATTTACGAACCCGAGAGACGCGGCGAAGATACCAGCTACGAAGAATCCAGGCATTCCACGAAGTCCTCCCAAGAAATTCATCACATACAGCGGAAGTATTTGATCCTGGCCGCTTATATATCCGGCTGTTAAAGGATCGCAGTCTTTATAAGCGCTGTATAGCACCATTCCAGTCAGAAAATTCAAGCTATAAATTACGATCATGCTGAACGCAGACACCCACAGCGCTCTGTAAGAAACGACATTCAATGAATAAACTAAATTTTAGTGAAAACAAATGTGTAAAGTTTTGCTCAATAATTAAATCCAGTCTTGTATCATAAATATTTTGTTAAACGCAATTGATATATGTCACCATAAAGATAGTTAGGTACTTAAAGTCAAAGTTAGACATTAACAAGATTGATATATTTAACAAAAATTAATTAAATTATTACATCTTGATTATTATATTGTGTGTGTGCGAATTATATTGAATTTTCTCAAAGACAGATTATGTAAATTTCTGAACTTGTGATAGCACTTCCTTAAATAGAATCGACATGTTACTGTAATGACAATTGAGTAAGGCTGAAATCAGAGGTTAAGCATTTACGAGAATTTAGGTCTTCAAAAGAATTCCTAGTGTAACAGATCATAGACGTTGATTAAATGGAATGATGTCATTTTGCACACAAGTGTCAATATTCTTAATTTGCAAATTTAATTGTGGTCAATAACTTATCAGTGTTGAACTATTTAGACGTGGAAAATATTTTGATAATCATTAGATTGCTAACTTTTTCGCTTGTCAAAATTTTTATAAGTACATTCTTCTATATACCATTTTTTATTCACCTCATCTTTTCTGTTACTTTCTTTTTTACAAAAGCTTAAAGCAATGACTGCACAAATTGATTCCGTATCGATCAACAATTATGAATTAACTATTGATATTCACAATTGTATTGTGTTAAATTGTCTAAAAGAAGCATTAATATTATTATTACATTATATTATTATATGATTATACATATAATGTTGATCGCTTATGGGGATCACTTTATTAAAACTTCTTTATAGACTTTTCATATTATTGTCTTAAAAACACTTACATCCTTACTTGCGAGATGCTCTCGACACTGAGATATTTTTGGACGGACGCCTGGTTGCTGCAGAACATGGTGGTCCAGTAGAAAGTACCACCGATCACAACACTCCAGAAGCTATGCCGTACTGTTGGACTAGGATTCATATTAAAAAATTCCATCCGGCCTGATTTTGCGTTTTCCTCCCAAACGCTCGCAATTCCGCCCTCCCAGGATAATCCGTAACCCAAAATGAGAAATAATGAGCCGATAAGAACGGCGGCTTGGAAGGTATCGGTCATTATTACGGCTTTCATACCACCCTATCAATGATATAATACATAATAGCAAATATATATACTATATATACATATATAATAGTAATATATGTAAAAAGAAACACAAACCTGTGAGGCATAGAAAATGCAAACCATGTAGACTAGAGTGACGGCTATGTAAGTATTCAGGCCCGTAACTGCAAATTAAAAAATATCTATTGTTTACATTCTGTATAAACATGAAATGTTATATACTACAAATTTTACGCTTCTAATTTAAGAGTTGATTATATATATTGAAAATTTTATCTTTAACATTTTATTCTCTCTCATATAATATGATAGAATTATATAAATTATAAGGTACTTTAACATTGAGAGGAAATTTTTTTGGTACTTGTAATTATATATTATCTACATATTACTATAATTATAAGTTTAACAGTGTCAGACATAAATGATTATGTGACAGTCAATGTGTTAAAGAATTGCAAACTATTATATAACTATCAGTCATTACTCACCGTGACTTAATGCTAATGCAGGTGCATACACAGCTACTGACGTGTATAACACCATTTGCAGCATATACAACGCGCTCGAGAGTAATCGACAGTTTCGGTCGAAGCGCAGTTGTAAATATTCGTAACTCGACGTCAGCCTTAATTTTATGAACACCGGCAGGTACAAGCGAGAGGTGATCGGTACCACGAGTATGAAAGAAAGGCATGTCATCCAGAATTGAGTACCCTGCAAAGAAAACAATAAGTAATTGTATAGTTATAAATCAATAGCTATTGCACGTCTAGGCTGTTATGTGTGTAAGAAATAAGATTTTAAAGTAAAAATAATTGATTTTAGGAATTTCAGGTTGGAAATTTTAAGAATTTAACAACAGTTTTTGAAGTGATTTTTCATCTTTGAAGGAACCGAATGAAGCATTATTAACGTTTAAGAAATATTTTTCTAAATTTCTGGGTCTTTCAGTCGCAATTTTCCTGGTAAAAATTCAGATTGTGACATTTAAAACCGATACATTCACTTATCCAAAGGATTGACTTGCGTATATCGGTGCAGTGGAGTATACTTGACATTGCAAATCTTTGAAAACACCATTGTAAATCAATGGTGTTTTCAAAGTTTCTTTTAGGTATTACGTTTTTGTTTGTACCGCGCTGATGATGGTCTAAAGTAGGGTCAAAGTGTTCGATTTAATTGTCAATGCCATCGTGATATATAGTGGTATATTAAAGTAAAGTAAAGTATGATCATTATATGATTAATTAATTATCTAGTTGACTCTTTATCGTCCTATGTCATTTACTTTGTATTTGATATCTTGCAAAGATAATAAACAAGTGAAATATTTGTCATGTTCCTTAATAGTTAGTATCTTTCATTTTATAAGTATTTTAAAGATATCTTATAAAATTTTTTTGGAAAAGTTTAAAGTCGTATTCAAAAAAGAGATTTATAAATTTAAAATATAAAAAACTTTAAGTATAATTTTTGTCACCAGGCTTATAATACATTAAGAATTTTTATCGTCGAACCTGTCCGTACATCTCCGCGGGATTCCCCAAGAGTTCGATGGCCGTGATGAAGCTGGCGGCCAGAGACATCGCCGTGGGAACTGTGCCCATGCTGGACCCGCCCAGCAGAAAATCTTGGCTGGTCTCCTGCTTTTTGGAGAAGAAGCCGTAAAAGGTGCCGATCAGACAAGAGATCAACAGCATCATGGCGAGCACCGTATAATCCGCCCACGAGAAATAATGGAGCAGGGTGGGATGATCCGCGTGACACTTTTCCTCGGCACTTTTTACGCGTCGTTGCTCCGCGGACGACGCCGACAGGAAGAGGAACAGGACGAGAAGATGCGGTCGCATTTTCTGAAAGTAATAATATCCATGCTAATACTTCCTCATATTTTATACATATATTCTAATTCTATGCAGATTTAACCGTTATGTCAATTCTCGGTAGAGGTAATATTTGTCACAATAAAATTATTTACAAATTTTAAGATGCTCTTATTAACATCTTTATTAGCATTATTAAGAATGTTTATGAGCATAAATATTATTAAAAATTGCATATCAATTTAATTGATATTATTACTCTGACTTTTAGGACTGTGTTTCAAAACCAAAAAATTTGTCGGCGCACAGATAGCTTGAACTAGAAATTGTATATAAATTTACAAAAAATATTAATAGGTACAAAGAATTGTCTCGATTAAATATGGTATTTTTTACTTACAATTGTAAATATCTAAAAAAAATTGATATGTTATTCAGAAATCTATAAGTCATTAATGTATTCATAATGTACACTCACTACAGAACGTACACTCTCTCTTGTAGCAACTATCAGTTTTAATTACATCACTGTTTACTTGTTGATCATACTGTGTGAATTAATTACCAATCAATTATGATTTACATCATAATTTATATAACATAAGATATTTCACAATTTTATCACATGACTGCGTACCAATAAAATAATTTTACGCACGTCAAGTAGAATTCCGAACATGTAAATATTCAAAATATTGATTAATTTGTTAAAAAAAAAAACCATTTAGTATCAGAAATTAATGTAAGAATATTCGTGCTAAACGGTGCAGTAAGTTCTGGAAAGTTGTTTAATATGAGTGTTTTAACAACACTCATAAAAATTGATTTACGACTGCTTCAATTAATTCTTTCGTTTGACTTCGTTCACCTTAAATTTATATCTTATCGATCATGTCAAAGATATATCATGCAGATTCAAACGTCATCAGTATAAAATCGGTATCAAAATATCAATTAATTCAAATCAATGTGTCAACGTAATGTTAATCAAGTGTGGAAAATTTATGAAGTGCTAAAAAGTAATGTTAAATTCAATGTATGTTTATATCCATAATTTTGTAAATTTAGCAAGAAATTACTATTTAATCATATTTATTATAATTCTAGAATAAAATAATTACTTCAAAAATTATGATTTATTAAATTTATTATAAATTATTACCAAGAGAAAATATATAAAGTTTAAGCTTGATATTCATGATAATAATCAAATAGATATTCTGATCAAATATTAAAAATTATAATTTTCAGATCTAACCGAAAGAAAATGCGAAGCAGCCTCATTAAGTAAACATTTATTCCATTGATTTACATAAATCTTGAATAATTTGAATAAAAAAGTATAAATCTTTATAAAGAGAAATATATTATTTATTTATCTATCAATAATTGATTTATTACTTAATATTAAAATTAACAAGAAAATGCAATATAATGGTTGATGTGATTAGTTTAATGATATTGTGCATAACTATAGGCAATAATTGCAAGTAACTATCATCAACATTGTTATTAACTATCGATTAAGACATATATTCGAACCGGTTAGAATTATAATTTACTAGTTAAAACCGGTTACTTTAAAATGTAACCTGTTAGATCACAAATAGAAAACCGTACATTGTAATTTTTCAAATTCTAATTAAATATAATAAAATTTGCAGATAAATTTTCTTAACTACTTAAATGATAATCAATATAATCACATAATATTTTATTAATTTTGTAATAATCATAATATATATAATTCATATTAAGTGTAAATATATAAATTTTATACATTAATATAAAAAAAGTTGCAATTGTAACTTTGTAAACAAAATATCAATTTAGAAAAGGGTCTTAAAGCTTAAAATCTTTATTTTCGAAAGATATATTTTTTGAGTTTCTGTGAATTTGATAATTTTTATATAAAAAACAAAAAACTAGACAAAATGACAAATTTTCTTCTTACTTTGTTGGCGTATCACGTGTTTAAAAAGAGCTTATAAAAATTGTCGACCTTCTAACGTGAAAGTTTAAAGTTTTCTCTACAAAATAATTTTTAAAAAACTATTGTTCTTAAAATTATTTTATACTTACAAGTTATTAAATTAACATTTTGTTAATTAAATAAATATTAAATAAACATTTTCTTTTTGATTGCTCATAATTCCATACAAATCATCACAATTTAAAAGAAGATTCTTAAAACTCAAACTTTGCTCTATCAGTATAATTATAAAATTTTGTTTAAAAATATGTAGACATGATACAAATGAACAGCACTATAAACTTTGATTTCGATCCAATATGCTAATTTTACATATAAAATTTGTATAGTAGCTATAATTATTACTTTTTAATTGCTATCACTAATTCCTTTGGCTTTTCCTTACAGTTATTTTCTTTGAGTATAAGAACGTTTCTCGTAGAAAAACTTGAGAAATATTAATTACTGCACTAAAATTTAATCTATCACTTTTTGTGCGTGAAGTAATAAAATATTGAAACTTATTTAGCATTATTTTATGCTAAAAATGAACCAAAAGCATCAAGAACAATTTTTATAAGCAACATATAACAAATAGGATATATATATATATAAACAAAACATCTTTTTAAAGAAATATTTTTTTAAGCGCAGGAATTTATTACTATGAGAATATGTAAACCTGCAACATGCAAACATTCAAGCTGGTTTGACACATTATGTTTATACAGAAATTGCAAAAAAAAAACTAAAATAGAATTTCCATAAAGTTGCACTCTCCATTGTGTCATACTAACTCAATTGCACCAAGAATGTTAAAAGAGAAAGCGACCAAACGTGGATTTGAAAGTTTACACGCAGATGCAAATTCTTTTCGGTGTATTTTAACTAAAAACTTTTTTTTCTGGTGAAAAAGTTTCTTATATATCCCCTAAAATATAATAATATATTTTAATATCTTATAATGTGACATTGTCAAGAATTTTTTATATTTTAAGTTTATATAAACTGCTAAGAAATTTTTGAAAATTTCTTCTTCAGATTTTATAAATTTTGTTTGGAAATTATAGAATAAAAAATTTCAGAAATTTCAGAGAACATTTTAGTATTCACATATTTATGAAGAATTTTAAAAAAGATATATCTTTGCAGATAACATTTTTGCCAGTATTTTTTGTTAAAATATTGCTAACTTGCTAAAATATGTTGCAACCAAATTGCTAACGAGGTGAGTTCTCATTTGATGCAATATTGCAAACAAAAAGAAACATTTAAACTGAATATAACTTGATAGCAATTTTGCTGTAACAGTTGCTGTACAAAATGTATTATTATGCAATATTTCAGCAAAATTGTGACAATAAATCATTGTTATTTATTTTTATATAAAATAAATACGATTTCTAATAATACGTCAAAGAAATTTATTTCAACAAATATTTTTGCCATCATAATGACATTGTAGCAATAACAATTGCTATAGTAAATAGATTTTATTAGTTATTGCTTTTGCACGAAATGTTACTTGAGAATTGGTATTACTAAAAAAAGAAGTCCCATTTTGATAAATTTTTTAAAAGTTATAAACTTATACAGAAATATATTTAAAAATTCGTATTTGTAAAAATCTTATGTAATTTTCTAAAAAATTGTAAAATTATGTATAAGAATTCTGAAAAATTCCAAAATTTATGTAGAAAAATTACATAAAATATTCCAAGAAAATTTTTCGCCAGAAAAAGTACTCTCAGAAAAAATAGCTTGTATAGATCTTACCTCTCGATTGTTTCTTTCAAGACGTGGAACGGATCACCTGAGAGGATCTATGCGCAAGATAGAAAATTCTAACGCCTGATCGAACTTAGTCCCGCGTACCAGTTTCCGATAGGAACGTGCGAAATTGCAGTTGAATGATTTTGCTAGTTTTCCTAACGTAACGCATATATAATCGGCTGATGAGCTCCCCTCGAAACTTCGCTCTTGCAGGCCTGCTCTTCCCGCCTGAGAGACTTGCAGTTTCAGATGAAAAAAAAACGCGATATGTTCGAAACGCTTTCGAGCTTCTTATTTCCGTTTTCTTCGCGCCCACCTCTTCCGTGATTTCCGTAATATGAAGGAAGGCAAGAATTCTGACGGATTAAACGGAGAACGGAATCGAGACTGATCGTTTTAATTGTCACGTGTGTGCCTTTATACGAACGGTTCCATCATCATCCCCCTACTACTAAGTAGACGGGTTTCAGCGTGAAACTCGCCAAAACGGTAACAATCGCCTAGTCGTCGTTGCACTGATAACAAATCGATAAATCACGTAATTGAATATACGTCGTTCAGACGATTTATTCGCGGTTTTACAATTCTGCGTATTCACACAAATTGCGCATTTTCCTTGCTTCCTCGATTGCATTCTGTCAATTTAGATATAATTTCAAGACTAAATTATCTTTTTATAGATAATAATACAGCATATGATTCATATACATTTTCTATATTCTTTCCTGAATGTATTTATATTTTACAACCGTTTAGAAAATATATATATGAGGTATTCTAGTTTAAACATACATCTCAAGTATTCTTTAAAAAATGTATTTTAAAGAAAAATGTTGCATATAAAGGTTGACAATAATATATAAGGATATATATAAGAAGGCGAAACAATTTTTGAAAAAGATAAATTTTTCTTGCATTTTTAATATAAACATTATTTTTTTTTAATTTAAGATTATATTGTTTTTTTATATAATATGATTTTTTAAATTATTCTGCGTATAAGAGTATTTGTAGTGGAGACAAAAAAATTAATAGTTTTCAAGTAATTTTATTTATATTTTAATATTATTGTGTATAGAATAAATAAACTTGAATATAATAAAAATATATATATAGTTGCTTTAAAAAAATATGTAGTTATACAAATCGCAAAACTTTTTTAATAATCAATTATGTTATTTTTACACCAATTGATTAATTTCATTATTCTTTGTATAAAAGTATTATCTAATATATGATTATTAAAAAATTAATAGGTTATAAGATATTTTGTATTTTATAT